TTTTCTTATGATCTAATTTCTAAAGCGTGCTAAACTTGGTCTTGGTCAATCAATGAAAATGAATACACTCTATCGTGTTTAGTCATTTTTCTTACGTGAAAATTTTAATCGTCATATGTATAATGAATTTAAACAATATGCTGTTGAAGATGCTAAAACTGATCATCGGTATATAAATGAATTGTTTTTATGAAAAATAATAAGAAAACAATTGAATATTATTATTTATGTATAGATATGGTATTGAATGTCTATTTCGATTTTATACATATGGTCTAGAAAAACATTTTCGTCAACATGTATTTGAAGATTTTCAACAAGATACTCTTTGTGATCATGAAGCTGGTAATAAAATAGATTACAAAAAAAAAATAAAGTGTCAATAAGAAAATATTTTTTCTATTTAGATCAATTGTATGGTTTAGAAAACTTCTGGGCATTTTTAAAATATTCTCGACAAAAACCAAAAATTAATTCAAAACTTGAAGAAATTTTAAAAAATTATAAAAATCTTGAAGACTTTCGTGTTGATGGTGCATCATTTCCACGACAATTTTTTTCAACAAAATCAAGAATTATAGTAATTGAAAAACATTTTTTTTTTGTATGGTATAAATAATTTCTTTATAGACTGTTCCAGCACCCGAAGCAATTACTGCTGCAGCAGCAAAGAACAGTGAAACATCAAATTCATTAAAAATCAGTGGTGAACATTTTCCGACACGTAATAATCGTGATCAAGCTCGACAATCGAATCGACGAACAATATCTGAACGGTGCTAAACTTTATACACGTTTTATTTTTCTTTTTCTATGTATATATTACATTGTTTTGTTATTGTAGTAGATAGATAGATTAAATAGTGATGCATTTTCTTTTTCTATCGATAGAGATATGATGAATTTTCATATGGTTTCATTTTGTTTTTTGAAACTATTTGCTAATAAAAATAAAACAACTAAACAAATTTAATTTGATTATGATTATGCCTGTTTTTCTTTTAGAAGAAAAAAAAAGACACTGGCTTCATCTCGTTTATTCAATAATATTGGTAAGATATTGAGATAATATTTTATTTCGATAGAAGAATTTAGTGTTTTAGGAAGAATTGGTATTGGTTTAGCTATTGCTGGTGGTGTGATTAATTCTATGCTTTATAATAGTAAATATAAAAAGATTTAAAAAAAAATTGTTTTTTTTAAATATAAATATATTCTAGTTAATGGTGGTCATCGAAATGTTATTTTTGATCGCTTTCAAGGTGTTAAACTAGATGTTATTGAAGAAGGAACTCATTTTATGATTTCATGGCTTCATAGACCAATTATATTTGATGTTCGTACACGACCACGATCTGTTCCATCAATAACAGAAATAAAAGGTATAAAAGCTAGAGAAAAACAGTCAACTTCAGGAGATAGGTAAGCATAGGAAACTTCAGTACCGAAAATGTAAACTCGCGAAAAACTGAAGGTATATGCAATGTTTATTGAACTATCAATGAATGTATATGACTGATGTATCTTAAAAATTTTGCGGCTATCAATGGTGACTCGCCTGAGGTCTCTATTATTTCCTCGTCGTATAAATGAAAAAAGCATAAATTATATTTTATTATTTATTATTTCAGATTTACAAACAATTAATATAACATTACGTATTCTTTATCGAACAAGAGCTGAACTTTTACCAAAAATTTTTACAAATTTAGGTTTAGATTATGAAGAACGTGTGTTACCATCAATTACTAATGAAATTTTAAAATCTGTTGTAGTAAGTCTCAGATATTTTGTTTTTGTTACTATGAATAATTAAATTGATTATTAGGCTCAATTTGATGCTATTTAATTGATTATACAACGTACACTTATTTCCCAACGTGTTAGTGAATTAGTCACAGAATGTGCTGCTCAATTTGGTTTATTACTTGATGATATTTCAATTGTAAGATGCAACAAAAAAAGTCTCGAGTTGATTATATATATATTTAAAATTAGATGCATTTAAGTTTTGAACCTGAATTTACAAGCGCTGTTGAATTAAAACAAGTTGCACAACAAGATATTGAAAAACAACGATTTTCAGTCGAAAAAATAAATGAATAATAATAAAATTTGTAGGATTTTTTTGATAAAAAAACAACAGGCTGAACAAAGTCGTCAAGCAAATGTTATTGCAGCAGAAGGTGTTGCTCGTACAGCTAATTTGATTGACAAAGCTTTAGATGAAGCTGGTGATGATAAATTTTCGAATGTCTTTCATTATCTTGTCTTACTTTTGTTTTAATATTCATGTTAGGTTTTTATGTTCGATTAAAAAAAAAAAGAAGAGCAGATCAAAAATTCTCTAGATGACATTAAAGTTTCGAATACGAGTGAAATGATGAATTTCGATAATCTCTTTCGACATTTTATATTAACTCAATCATTTGTACGTGGTTGGGCAAATTCATTTCATTTACAAGAAATTTTTACCTATCGACGTGAAAAAATTGATGTAAGAAGCGAATGTTTAAAACTTGTATCAGCTGAAAATGTACAACAAAATACTGTTGAAATAATTAAACAAGAAGTAAAAAGCAATCAAAATTATACAAATGCTCGATTTCGTTCACCACTTGCCAATTATTTACTACATTTGGTAGGAAATTAAAATCATTTTAATCATTTAATTAATATTATCTTTTTTTCTTTTGTTATATTTATTTGAATAGGTTTCATCTCAAGTAGCTACAGCTCATTTTCAACTTGTTTTACCATATGATCATCGTTTTGGTATTGATTCAATTCCAATAGGAATTTGTTATGCTGAAACAGAGATAATCATGGTTTTAGTCGACGAAGGCTACTTACTGCAGTTCCATTAATTAATCAATATCGTATAGGTTCAATTCTTCTTGAAAATTCATATTATGGTTTAAGAAAACCGCCAGATCAATCTCGTTAATCATTATTGTATGTTACTGATTTATATATTATGGGTAAAGCACTTGTTTTAGAAACATTTGTATTACTTCATTAGTGTCAAAAAAATGAAATTAACATAAGCTATTCTACATGGTTTTTCTCTTGGTGGACATATGGCTTCATTAGCATTTACAAAGTAAAATTCAATTCTATTATTTGATCTATTTAATGAATGGATATACAATATCTATCATAATTTTAAATAATGATTCAAGTAGAGCAAATCATATTACAAAAAGAATATAAATTAAAAACATTGATTATTCGATTCCCTAAGTTAGGATTTTTTTAGACAACCCAAAAGCCTAATTTCTCAGTATCCAGTACTTGAACTCTCTAGGATGGTTTTTTATTGAGTAAAAGTTGAATAATTTTGGTAGCCATTGTGTATATATTTATATTGTAGATGGCCTGATTCACCTTGTCGACAATTCTATAAAAATAAAGTCTCTCAAACATTTTATGATTATTTACGTGAACGAAATTGATCAATAGATTCAAATAAAATTGTTCTCGATCTTATTAAAGATATGATGCGTCTTCTTGTGGATGAATTTACATCTTTATATAATTATTCATGTTCAGTTCAATCAAATACATCTAATGCTATGTTTATTGCTTGTACACACGATGGTTATGTATTACGTGATGGTATTCCACATATGAATGATGTATGGCTTGGTATTCATATTCGATATATTCCTCATGGATATGTTAGTGCATTTTTATTTAATCAATCAGATTTTCATCATGCTGCTGCTAAAATGTTACAACGACAAGAACCAAATGTAAAACTAAAAAAAACATCTAATCATATCATCAATTTCTATTACTACACCAAAAAATTTGTGAAGATATATATTTTTTTCATATAGATATTCTCTCGAAAAGTATCAAATATTTCCTAGTTTTTATGTTGTGATTTGAATAATAACTCAGAGAAAAGAAAACTTTTGATCAAATATAAACTAGATAATATATTAATCGTTTTGTTTTTTTAAATATAATTTGTGTGACTCTGGTAAAAACATGAGCAAACATTTTTTTGTCCTATTTATCAGCAAATAGATATTGAGAGACCTTCTCCAACTGATATCCTCTGTTCGAGCTCATAAGTAGCACTCATAGTCATGATGAAAATATTAAACATGTTTGTGCTCTTAAGCCTTTCATGATTTTTCTATTAAATTTTCAGCATTTTGCAGGATATTAGCAAAAAAACTGCAATAACGAGTCTCCATTTCAAACTTTCTCCAATAACAGATTTCATAAAGATTATTACATTCTAAAAGTTTTAGCTCAAACGAATGGATCCAAGTCAATCAATCAGACAGTGAGATCAATCACAGATTCTTGCACGTTCATACAAGATCGTACAATTTGATTTCACTATATTGTTTGAATTCTTTACAATAACCCACACAGGTTAGAGTTCTCTACTTTATAAATTACCATACCATTCATATGCATACAGAGCCAACATTTAAATTTCTGGTAGCATAACTGGATACAGATTTATCTTATATCTTTACTCAGAATTGGAACTGGTCTTTATCAGTTCTCTTTCTTTTCGCAGATGTGAACGAGAAGGAAAAGAACAGCGTGTGCATTTATATGATCATATCCTTAATATCAAATAAAACTTGGTTATTACATGAAAAAGAAAATGCATAATGCAAAATAGTTTGTGTTAGCAACAGAAGAATTATTTGAATTTTGTATTATAAAAATAACTTTATAAAAAAAAAAGAACTATTCTTTTGCTTTATTCGTATCTGAGCATTTCACATATTCATTCGAGAAATATATTCATTTGTATTTATTAGTTGTGTTCTATTAAAAATATTCTCTATGCTTTCTTATGGTCATTTATTATTGTGTAGTGAATATAAGGACACAATAAATAAATTTTATTTTGTATTTTCATATAATTTTGAAATTATTCATAGAAGATTAATGAAGAAATGTATCTCTATATAAAATAAACTCTATTGGTATTTAATGTGGGGTATGGGTGTGGATATGGGTCTCGTATTTCTCTTCAACCACACCCACACCCTTTTGCTAATGGAAATATAGAAAGTAATGGATATATAGGAGGTAGCTGTATGTTTGAAGAGGAGTCACTTTCATCCATATCCACACAGTTACTATTAGGTCGTTTCATAGACATATTGTAAAAACATGATGTGATAAACGTATAGATAAATATTGATGGAATTTTAGTTATTCTTAATTTTCAATCCAAATTTTGAATCAATGTTAATTTTCAAAACGTTTATTGATAAATAGGTCATCATTTTTTATAAATTGAAAAAGAAAATTTTTTTAACACCTTTCGTTTTTTTACACAAGTAATATTGATCTAAAGCGATCTTCTCGACCAAAAAACGATGTACTATTCTGTAGACCTGTATTGTATGTTCTGAAAGAAATGATATTGAATATTGAAGTTCTAACAAGTGAAATCGAACAACATTTGTTTTGAAAATAATGAACTTCGATAATGGTTTTTTCGAGCAAAAATTCTTAACTATGTCTCCTCTATAGATGAATTTTGGTTTACTAGAATATAGATTACCGATCGACTTATGAAAAAATCGTTAGAGATTTCTTTTAATGTCGATTTCGTTTTTATCGATCAGCGTCTTTTCATTATGAGAATTTATCAAAAGAAAACGTCAAGATATGTCTGCATTATCATGTGTGTCATACAGTTGTCTGATTCTTCCATAGTCGACAGAATACCTTCAAAAAGATCTCACATATATTCACCAGAATTTAAAATAGTCTAGACCTAGTATTTCAGTTTTTGCATTCATATTATACTACATTCAAAGATCGGTTTTTCTCATAAGAATCAGGTAAAAAATAAACCAAGTTTTGATCTTAGGATTTCTTTGGGAATGTTAATATTTTTAAAGTCCAAGTTCAAATGAACAAGTTGAATGCTTTTCTTTTTTCTTCTTTTTTATTGAGAAATACGATGAAATGTCGAATCTTATAAAATATCTACTTAAATTAAAAAATGAATTGTACTGAAAATTGTCAATGTTTGTATCATTTTGAAAGAAATATTATCTCATATTTATGATAACATACGTTTTATATATTTTATCATGAAATAATGTGCAAATATTTTTTAGAATAGTTGTGGGCTGTTAACTGTCAGTAATCGAATCATCGAATAAAGATGCACTGAAATATCTCGTTGTTAGTCACTGTCTATCTTTAAACGATCCTAACCATTTCAAATCATACAGAAATAAATATCGGCCTGTGTACTCCATATAAAATTCATTTCATTGAGCAAGCTAAAGTTTTTTTGCTTCTTTGTCGTCTTCTCTGTCGGTGAATGTTTTATTGCTGCTTTGTGCAGTCCTTCTCATCGAGTGCTTGTTTTGACAAGGATTTCTAAAGAAAGGAAGAAAAAGGAGGCAAACACAGACAGCAACGGAGGATAAAGGTTTGACACGTTGCAAAAGTAAGATGCGAATCATTCGAAAAAAAAAACAAACCTTATAAGACGCAAAAAAAATTATTGACAGCAACATATCAAATTTACCCAAAACGTATCGGCTTCAATTACTTGATCGTAGTGAGTAACTCATTAAGAAGATTCAACATGTAAAATAAATTATTAATATTTTGAATGTTATACACTTAGCACCAAGACGCTGCAAATATTGAAAATGATTGAGACAGATATGACATTGACACCTATGATCGATTTTACTTAAGCTGATCGATTTGTCAATGCATGCCAGTTACTGGTCGTGGTTATTCATTATTTCATAGTTGTCTCATATTTGTTTGACCTTTTCATTCAACTCTGTTCTATAGTGTTTTCTATATGTAACACGATTTGTCTGCCTCTTTGTTTTTCTCTTACCCTATTCAACCATTTCAATTATTAAAGAAATAAGACACCATGGCGTAAGCGTGGACGGAATGGGATAAGATTGGGCCTTCTCTTAAACCATAGCGACATCCACACCGAACTTGCTTAGGAAAAGGTGTAACGATACTGGTAAATGAAAGAGTAAGACTGGGATCAGCTGCATTGCTAGAAATATGGAGTGGGCTAAGCGTGAACAGTAGAAGCTTTTTACTTGCACAAATTCGTTTTATTCTTACAGCTTGAAAGGGAATTTCTGCGCGAAGAAATAATCCGTGTTTCGGACTAGGACACTCCTTTCCTTTCGCGAATGCCCAAAGTGCAGAATGTTTGATTCCGATATTGAAGAGAAAAACTTTAGGAGAGCTACGATTTCATTGTTTTTAGTTATCTAGATGGCCATGGCTAGTTTGTCTTCTATTGATTCTCTTACCAGCGGCAATGATAATAATGTTAAAATATTCAGTCTTATTTGGCTTGACACAAACGTTCACGCTGAAGAGAATCAAGATGCACAAGAAAAACTGCGTCATATCATCAATCATCTCAAGACATTTCAAGATGGGGAAGAGTGTAAGCAATACATAGAGCAAAGAGAAAATCACGATCGAATAGTACTCATTGTCAACAGTCATTTGGCTCGACAAGTGGTACCTTTCATTCATAAACTTCGACAAGTCTCAGCAATCTATGTTAATTCAACAGATAGGAAGAGCGATGAACAATGGGCACAGGAGTTCGTCAAGGTAAGGCTGTTCTGACAATTTTCAGTCGTGTTATACTATCGGTTTAGGTGAAGGCCATTGTTACTGAACCGGAAGAATTGGTTTCTCAAATTAAAGCAAATCATAAGCAACAGATGAGAATGCTAGAACCATTGTCGATCAACATGTTCACTACAAGCGGTGATGCAGGGAAGTCTACAACAAGAATTAATGGTCAATTTGTTTTTTCTCAATCACTTATCGACTGTCTTCTTCGATTGAAACCCGATGAGAAGGACAAAGAGGAACTCATATCTTGTTGTGAGAATGAATACAAAGACAACTGTGTCGAACTCGACAAGCTGTGTGCATTTCAAA